TTATTATGTATATATTTTCCTCTAAGTAGTACTGCATAGTGGTGGCAAATTAATCTATTGGGTTGTTAATGGGCATTCATTAAGACCCGTTTAATTTGATACACCATATATAATATATGAGTGAAATTGCTAGTGATGATGATGATGGTGTAATGTGAAATCAAATTAAATGGGATTTAATGGGTACTCATTAACAACCCAATAGGTTGATTAGCCATTGCTTTTGACTTGCGTACCAACAAGAAGGAATGCACATATCTCACTTCTTTCGATTAACATTATTCATCATATAAATTTCATGAATACTGCTATATATTCACCTAGTCCATCGGATATACATGTGAATGCAACTTCATCTAGATTGATTCGTCGACATGATTAACTCCATATACAAATGGCGGTAATGCTAAAATTAGTTTTCATCGTCAATAAACATGACAATAATGTGGATAGCACCACCCTAAACAGGGAGTGCTATTTAAACACCAATTTTTTTTTCTTCTACATACCCTTATTAATTAATTGATTCCATCTTAACAAGGAAGAGAAATATCACCAAATGCGGGTTGATCAATCCGCATGGTATCGAAATGAATAGAAAATGGAGCTATTTAATATACAGGCAAGCATACATATATTGCAGCCGCTCACATACGTTTGTATAGTACAAGAACTACCAGTACTAGCACTCTCTGTCCAACTAATTTACTACAAAATTACCTAATTAAGCTGTTGTGGTCAATCCTTTAATGTGTGTTGGACATTAATTAATTGCAGCTGCTTGAGTGGAGCAAAACCTATGTATCAAATGTAGCTGGGGAGATTGCAATTGTGTTGGCAATGGCCATGTGGATCACAAGCATTCCTCGCTTTAGGCGTAAAATGTTTGAACTTTTTTTTTACACCCACCATCTCTACGCACTCTACATCTTCTTCTACGCACTGCATGTCGGTGCTTCCTACTTCTGCATGCTCCTCCCCGGCATCTTCCTCTTCATCGTCGATCGATACTTGAGATTTTTACAGTCGTACCAACGAGCTGGGTTAGTCTCAGCTCGCGTTTTACCATGTGGTACCATTGAGCTCAACTTCGCCAAGACCCAAGGTAACTAATTTTGCTCTAGTCGTCATTAAATACGTTGAGTTCATGTCACGTGCTGGAAAATATCAACTTTGTTGTTAACCCATATTATAACTCATGGATCAGTAACATTATTAGCTTTAAGCACCATTAAATATGTATGTCACATTTATACTTCTCACATAGTGTGTATATATCTGTCTGATTATATTGTACGCTAGGTTTAGAAATATCAGCTATTATACCCCAGCTAGGTTTGGAAAATATTAACTATATACTCATATTATAACGCATGAATTAATAACGCATTTATCTCTAACCACCATCAAATATGTTGCACTGGTACGTGCCACTGCCATGTGTTAGGTATTAGTTTATTAATATTACATCCTAACATTTGAAAATATGAATGTATATCCACTTATATTATAAAACGTGAATCAGTAACCTTGTTTTTATTTTTTATTTTTTTGTTTCAGGATTGGATTATAATCCCACTAGCATCTTGTTTATAAACGTGCCAAGCATATCCAAGCTGCAATGGCACCCATTTACAGTGACTTCAAACCCTAACATGGAGCCACACAATCTCAGTGTTGTTATCAAGAGTGAAGGAAGTTGGTCTCAAAAACTCTACAAGCAACTGTCTTCAAATGTGGATCATGTCCAAGCTTCTGTCGAAGGACCTTATGGCCCCATTTCATCTCATTTTCTAAGGCACGAGGCTCTGGTGATGTTCAGTGGAGGCAGTGGAATCACTTCTCTCATTTCCATAATCCGTGAAATTATTTTCCAAACCACCAAACCCGATTCCCATTTGCCACGTGTACGGCTCATATGTGCCTTCAAGAACACAGATGATCTGTCCATGCTACAACTCTTGCTTCCTATTTCTTCAACCCCTTCCGATTTTTCCCATGTAGATTTGAAAATTGAAGCCTATGTCACCAGAGAGACAGAACAGCCGCCGGCATTGGCTTGGAAGCCCATCCAAACAGTGTCCTTTAAGGCCGACCCATTGGACTCACCCATTTCTAGGGTTTTAGGTCCAAGCAGTTGGCTGTGGCTTGGTGCAACAATCTCGTCCTCATTCGTCTTGTTTCTCGTTACTTTGGGACTTACCACTCGTTTCTACATTTACCCGATTGACCACAACACTGGTGAAGTTTATCACCAGTCTTTTATCTGTCTCTGGTACATGTTTTTGGTCTGTTCTTGTATTTTGCTGGTATCTAGTGTAACTTTTCTTTGGTGCAAGAGACAACTAAATGCCTTGGAAGGGAAACAAATCCAAAATGGGGAAGCGCCAGCTCATGAAATAGAACTTGAAGGCCTTCCACATCATCCTGAAACCCTAATTGCTCAAGCCACACTGGTGCATTATGGAACAAGGCCTGATCTCAAGAGTAAGTTAATTAATTATCTCTCTAGTATTAACGACCATTGTCATGTTTACTTCTTGTAGTAACACATTTTTGGATAAGTGATTAATTACTGTTTCTGTTTGCAACCCAGAAATTCTGTTGGCGTCCAAGGGATCTGATATTGGAGTGTTGGTGTGTGGGCCAAGGAAGATGAGACATGATGTTGCCAAAATCTGTTCATCTCGTTCGGCAGATAATTTGCACTTCGAGTCCATTAGCTTCAACTGGTGATGCATGCCTGAACTACCGTTGTGTGATATAATTCAGCTTGTATTAATTATAACGCTCAAATAATTGTCGTTCAAGAGATTTGCTGAAAGATTTGCTTTCAGCACCTCTCATGTCGTCTTTAAAGATGTGTAAATGTATATAAAATGTTCATGGATTTGTATTTGTTTTGGGTGGTTGGAAATAAATTAGTACTAGATTTATCATAATATGGAATCTACATATGCTCTAATTGTACAATTAATGTTAATTACTATGTAGCCATCAGCCATGGCACTTGATCATTTGCAGAAAAACAATGAGGTTTATAATAAAGGAATATTCATATATTTACATGCACCTACCTAGCTACTCACTCACATATCAGAGAACCCCTCAAACCTTGTAACTGTTATTTATGTACTGTTTTTTGGCCGGTGGGAATCAAAGTTGGGAAGTGTTGCATTAACACTAGGGATAGTTGGGAGCATTTGTCTAGCCTCTCTTTTTCCCTGTGAGCAGAGGATCTTCCATTGTGCGGGCGGATCATTGGCCTTGCATCAGAGGCAAGCTTCAAGTACCATATCTGTCTAGGGCATCTTGCCATGATGCTCTTTTCGGCACACGGTTTATGTTTCTATTGGGGGAGCACAAACCAAATTTCAGAGGTAATTAAATTTCCGAAGCTTCAAAACACTATTTAGAAATGAGCCATTCTCACTATGAAGCAATTTTTTCGTGCTGGTGTAGATGTTGAATGGAACAAGGAAGGTGTTTCGCAAGATCTTTGAGCTCTTCTTATACACTCATCATCTCTACATTGTCTTCCTTGTCTTCTTCGTGTTTCGCGTGGGTTTCTCCTACGCTTGCATAATGCTGCCGGGCTTTTACCTCTTCCTGATTGATAGGTTCTTGCGTTTCTTGGAATGTCAGCGTAGAATTCGCGTGGTTTCAGCCCGTGTTCTTCCGTGTGAGGCTGTTGAGTTGAACTTCTCCAAGAGTCCAGGTGAGAAAACAAAGATGATCAATCCTACGCCCCAAATGAGCTCTAAATAAATACTACATCGAGCTTTCCCATAGAACTCAATTATTCTCCAACAAGCATGGTGTTTGTAATTGTATCAGGAATTGTCATCCTCTGTGCCCGCCACCCGCCCTAGAGGTCTCAGTCGAAGGACCGTAGGGACCCGCCTCAAGCAACATGCTAAGGTGCTCACATTGTAAACCATTTCCCCAATATTTAGAGTATGCCAAATGTGTGTGCTAATTTGACTGACATGGTGAAAATGACATGCCAGTGCAGGCACGACATGATAGTGATGGTGAGCGGAGGAAGCGGCATTACTCCATTAATCTCCGTCATCCGAGAGCTCCTCTTCGAAGCCAATAGCTGAGGCAGCGAGGCTCCAAAAATTCTCCTAATATCGGTTTTCAGGAAAACACTAGACCTCACCATGTTGGACCTCATCCTCCCCGTTTCGGGCACAAACCTAGACATTTCTTGCTTGCAGTTGCAAATTGAAAGCTTATGTGATGAGAGAGAACCCATCTCAGAATCCTACAAACCCCTCCACACAATTTGGTTTCTGCAGTTCTAGGACAAAACAGCTGGTTCTGGCTCCGAATGATCATATCATCGTCTTTCGTTATCTTTCTTGTGCTCATGGGAATCCTCACTAGATATTGCATCAACCCAATTGACCACAACTCCAAACGTGATATTTTCCGACTCAGCTAGATCTGCCTTGAACATGTTATTTTTATGCCTTTCTATAGCATCTGCAACGGTAGTTTTCTTGTGGAACAAGAACATAGCCGCAAGGAGATGGGGCAGATTCAAGTCCTGGACACACCAACTGCGACGACTGCTTCTCCAAGTGGGCGGTTTTCCGTTGCTGAGCAAGAACTCGAAAGCCTTCCTCACCGGAGAAAGATTAGGGCTTTAACATTTGATTATTTTTGTTGGGATACGATTTGAGAGTGAAGGTTCAAGTATTGGGGTTCTTGTCAGTGGCCCAAGAAATACGAGGCAAAAAGTGGGCTGCAATTTGTCATCTGGCTTGGCCTACAACCTACATTACCATTCCAAGAGCTTCACTTGGTAAACCTCAAATACAAGAAAAGGAAAATGTTGTCATGGATGATTGAGGACCTGACCTACCCGCGTATGTATGTCATTGCGTCCAAACATTAATTTGAGATACCGTCACAGCAATATAAGTGACACTAATTTGAAATACCGTCACAGTAATATTAATGCATGTATACGAAAATTAATTGGTTCGAGAAAAGCAAAGGAAAATTATTATTGAAGAGAAAGTAGAGAGAAAAAAGCAAACAGCAATAACAAGGAAACGAGAGAAGCCTTTAAAAACAAAAAAGCTTGAGATTCTTCACTAATCATTTAAAAATGCCTAAAACAAAAAGAAAGGAAAATAAATTCAAGATGAAGGAAAGCAACATTAGGCCCTAACCTAAAAAGAATTTTGCCTAAGCGCAATCAGAACGGTAAGAGTAGCTTCCACAAGCAGCGCCGGCCGCCGCCTGGGAAGAGCACGAATATTTCGACTTAACTATCACCGGAAAAAAAAATCGGAAGAACTCTATCCGCCAGAGAGTAACACATCGATTTGATGAAATACCGGCAGGGGTGATGGAAGATTTCTCCTTGCGAATAACGTATGTTTCAGTTTAAATGAGTTGACCTCCGGCTTCTCCACCAGAAGCCGGAGTTCTAATACAGAGTCAGCACTGGAACCTTAATTTACTCTCCTCTTCGCTACTTCTCCTACGTAAGCTTCTCGAGGCCGCCTCTCGGCCGCCCTATGGTCAGATTCATCGTAGTTCTGCGTGTTGTGAGATGCAAAACGATCTTCATCATAACGGTACTGACGCACACCACCATCTGAATCAAAACGCCTCACGCGATGAACAATCTCATATCTTCCATCAGGTTTCCTTCTATCATCATCACTACCTTCGTATCTACACTCCCTTCCACCACTGGGCAACTCAGAGTATCTTGCAGGACGCATCACGGGTTCAGAGTAACCATCTTGATTCAATCTCCGAGATGAACGCTCTGAGTCAAACCTCTGTCCTGGCTGGAACCGTCTTCCGGCAAATCTCCCGCCCCTGAAATTGTGATCTACACCTCTATGTGAATCATCAAACCATCTGGAATTCTGTTGTGGGGAAAACCGACGCTTTGGTGGGGACACGAACCCTACATCATACTTGCCTCCGAAATTTTGCCTTTGGAAAGGCACCCTCAGCTCCATATTAGAATCAAACCTATAATCAGGAGACCTGCTACCACGATGTCTTGAAATATCATTCCGTTCTCTCGGTAAACCCCATCCAAGAGGAGAGCGACTTCTGCATCGAGACTGGGGCTTCTGGTAGGGTCTACTATAATATATAGGTCCTCTGCCAGGGGGTGAAGTGCTTTGTTCTCTCCTGGGCATTCGTCGTGGCACATTATAAGAGCATTCGTTGGGATCATCGGGTATGGGCCTGTGGTACTCCTCCCTGATGCCTCTGTTAACCCCTTGCGGATATCGTCTAAACCTCCGTCTATCAGGACTTGTATCTCTCATAGGTATCATTCCCCTATGTATGTTGTGTGCATCATTCCTTTCAGATGGCGATGATCTTCTAAACGCGGGATGATACGAACGATTTGATGAAAAAGTAATAGCTTGCCTGCGAACACGGTTGTGAACTCCTGCTGCGTCTGAAAATGTGACGTCTGATTCCATCTCATAACCATGGTTCTCAACAACAATTCTTGGTCTAGAGCGTCCAGAACCAAAGGAACCACGATAAGTGGGTGATTCGCGGCGCTTGGAATCCCAATAACTCCCCGAAGAATTAACCACACCTCCGAAACTTTTACCCTGCATACGTGAATCAGATTTTTCCCTTCCCATGGACTGATCGGAACCAGCTTCCTCAGAGCGAATAGAATCAAAGTTGCCCAACCTGACGCAAACGAATAATTAGTAACCAAAATAGAAAAACCAAAGTTGCATTCAAGAGAATAAAAGAATCAATAGAGTTTACCTCCTCCTTCTTGCACATTCAGTACCCATCTTATTTGAGGAGTCAGATGCCATTGATCCAACCACGTTGGCAGGAGAATGTTTGGCATCATGACAATCGAAGCTATTAACAGCATGTCTCCTTACAGTGCACCCCTCAATTGCTTCTGCAGTTCTGTTTGAAGAAGCTTCAGAATCACCAGGTAATTGATCAGATCCAGAAGTTTTCGTCTTCGAGCCAACGGAACATTGTCTCAAAGCATGTTCATTTTTCTCACACGTATTATCAGATCCTGGACTCAATCCTCTCACAAGCTTCATGTTACTGTTAATTTTCCTCGACTCCCCAAATAATTCAGTTTCTCTGCATTCAAGTTCCATTCCAACTTTCCCTGATACAGAGTCATCAGCAGCTTCACTGTCACATGTATCAGAACCATAGTCAACACATTCAACTTCTAAGTCATCAATTTCATTCTCCTCCCAATATGGTACATCTGACTCCCTCAGCTCCCCATCTTCATACTGAGAGTCGTAACCAGCTTCAGGTTCCTTAGTGTTTCCCTCGCCAACCATGTGATCATTATCATCTTGACGAGTATTCAAGTCATAATCATCACTGGAAGGATCTTCAGTGGCTCTACCCGAGCTACGTGAGGTACCTTCACCATAGTGGCATTGCTCAAGAGAAGACCCAGCAGTAGCTGCTGGATTCATCATGGGATTCCCTGAAGGTTTATGCACTACTTCCGCAGAACCATCATTTGGCAGAGAATCAACAGTATGAGTGTCAGAGGCTGCTTCTACTGGCTGCTTTGCAATTACAGTCACCAGAGATCGGCCTTCTCCAACAGCTGCACCAGATGCAGATTTATCATTAGAATCATGTTTGGAATGGTGAATAGCCACATCCTCTGTTTTAGCTACAGGCTGAACATCCAGCTTGGAATGGTGAACAGCCACATCCTCTGTTTTAGCTACAGGCTTGACATCAAGTTTGGAATGGTGAATAGCCACATCTTCTGCTTTAGCTACAGGCTTGACATCAAGGAGAACGGGAGAGAGTGACTGACAGCTTTCCACACCCTTCGTCTCTTCCGGAGATTCTGGATCATCATGGACGCTAGATGTTGCACCAGAGCACTTCCCATCTTCATCTAGAACAGTGCCTTCAATCTCACAAGGTGCCCCCTCTGGCACACAAGCTAAAGCAGGGTTTTCAACCTTAACACTCTCTGAACAGACAGTTTCACCCAGTAGTTCACCAGAAGCAGTATCTCCTGTCATATGCTTAACAGGAAAGCTGGAAATCGGTGTTTTGTCGGTCTCCTCAGACACAGGGCATGTGACTGCGATGCCACAAGGAGAACGATCAATGCATGCATCCACACTGGCATCCTCAGAGGAAGCTTTTGCACTGCTACCAGAATCTTTTGAAGATCCCAAAGCATTATCAGTAGAAACACATTTACCATAACTCAACTCAAACTCAGGGCAAAGAGAAGGATCAATGCATGCATCCACACTGGCATCCTGAGAGGAAGCTTTTGCACTGCTACCAGAATCTTTTGAAGATCCCAAAGCATTATCAGTAGAAACAAATTTACCATAACGCAACTCAAATTCAGGGCACGCTTTCAATCCCTCTTCCTCATTGTCAGACATGGGCTTCTTCACTGTGCTTGCAATGTCATTCTTTGCATCTTCCTCCTTTGGTATCTCATTAGCTTCTGAAGCCTGGAAATTTGCACCACCCTGCTTATTATCCATGGAGATATCATCTGCAGCAGTTGTTTGAGGATCAGCAATCGCCATATCACAAGGTTCCTCCCAAGCATCTATACCAACATTTAGGTCCCAGTGGAACCTAACATCTTTTGAGGAGCTGGATCTTGCTTCTGCTTCGTCCTGTGCTTTGGTGGTATTAATCCCATCAGCCTCAAAAGAGGAGCTCCCTACCTTATCTTCTCGTCGTACATCTTTAGGGGATGAATGTACTGTTTCCAATGACGCACTACTTTCTTCCAAGATTGCAGAGACTGATGCATCTCTTGCTTCTGAAAATTCTGAAGCAGTTCTCATGACTGTTGAAGAAGTTGACGCATTGGTGGTTTGCTCCAAGGGCCTTGCAGACGTTGATGCATCTTTTGCATCCCGAGATGAATCTTCACCCACTTGATTCTTCACAGCATGATTGATATCATCATTTATGCTGTTGTTGCAGGCAGCAGCTGCCAATATCTCAATACCGGAGAAGTCATCCACGTCACCAGGCTTTTGATTTGTCACCTCATTCAAATTCTCAATAACACCGCTACCGGCTATATTATGGCTGACCCTAGTCAGGGTAGACGTATCACTCCTTGTGGGATGCTTTTTGCCAACTGATTTTGCACAAGACTTATGACCTGAAGAATGACGGCCATCCAATAGTGGTTTGTTGTCTTCAAGGTGTGGAGGGGGTGATGGAGACCGGACCATAAGTCTCCGTTTCTTAATCGGTACATGCTCAATTTTGTCACCCAATCGTCTCCCACATACAGCCACACCCTGCAAAACAGACAATTATATCAGCAACATGAAAAGCCTAATCAGATAAGCACTCTTATTAGAAAAATTGGTACAAACAAACAACAAAGGAAAAATCATGAAGTATTAATCAGATATGCACTCTTATTAGAAAGAATGGTACATACAAACAACAAAGGAAAAATCACTAAGTATTAACCTTGTCTGATTCAGAAACTGTTGCTTCTGATGCACTTCTAGCACTTTTCTCAGCTAGCTCTGCACCCAATTTTTGGTTTTTGTCAACAGGTTTCCTTGACCGCCTTGAAGAACTCCGATAACCCTTTGAAACCTTCCAGTTCAAGTCAGGACTAATAGATTTTGTAAGTTCTACACGCACTGTATTCATCATGCTTTGACAGAGAGATGTACTCCCATCAACTGTTTGTCTGCCACCACAAGTTCTGCACAGTGCAGTCCTTACTTTCTTTCCACTTTGCACCAGAGAGGTGGTACACCCCCAGTGCAAGCACAGAAATGAGTCTGCAAACCAGAAAAGGACATAAATATAACTACTCGGTCTATAAGTGCCAAAAAGCTTCGGCATACATGGTAAGAAGGTGCAGGATGAAAAACTGAGACGTTTCAATAAATTGTAGAAACTATAAAGTAAAAACCATCAGAAATCCTAGATTCTTACAATGCTTTGGTTTCTGATGAGGACTCTGTAAGAATTTTTCTTAGAACCCTCCAAAGGAAATACGTTTTTGAAGAGTTTTCTGCCTAATGAACCTAAAATCAGCAAAGATGAAGATCAGCACAGAAACTAGACCATAAACAAGAAACAACGATAATCATTGAAACAAAAGCAGATAAACAAATCAAGTCTCAAAATCTTTAACAATGTTATTGAGCCCAAAAGATGATAACTATACTGCCAGCATAACCTCCAGAGGCCATTACCTTGAGGCAGATCGTGTTAACTAGTTTTGGAGGACTGCAAAAACTCCCTTGGTTCAGAATGTCGAATTGAACATTAGCAAGTCGCTAATACTCGAAATCAGGCTTCTTTTTGTAACCATAAAGTACTAGGACAACAAAAATATTTCTTCTAACATCAATCATTCAAACTAGTAGACTGAGTTTAATGTGCCCAAAAAAGAGATTCAGCACAAAAGTTTTTTTCCTAACAAGAAATTCAAATTGTCTTGCTCATTATCACCAACAACAAGAGCAGGCAGTCTCTGGGCCTCGAAAGAACTAAGATTTACGACAGACCCACAAAACTTTTGCATAGTAGAAACAAAATTCTTCCAGATCTTGTGAAGGTTTCTTCGATCGATACCGATGGGCACATACAGGATGAATCAGTAATGGAATGGTGAAGTTCTAAGGACAAGGGGATTCTGCTAAAGAGCAGATCACCCATAACCCATCACAGATCCAGCCATATAAAACTAAAAACTATACTTTTGTTCAGATTCCCTATCAACAATTTTATCAACCACAGCAAAAGCATGGCTCCCGGAGAAAAGCCCAACTACTTTATTCCTCTACTGCTGACGGCGAAAACTTTCAATCCAAATACCAAGATTTGGCAGCCACAGTCGATCGAAATCGACATCAGAAGACTCGGAGATCTCGGCCCTATGCCTCTACCTATGGTTATACAATCCTAAGAGCCCATCAGGACCAAGCTCCATGACATCCAGTCCAGTCCAGCGGGACAACTTGAAGAAAAATCTGCAGTCCTTCAGGATCAGTAATCGGACTAGTTCCTTATCAAAGACAGTGACTACAGAGCCCAATAAATCGGCGATTTTCACAAATCCAGAGCCGATCAGAAGCCTCCTCATCGTTTCGCTTCGCAGTCCTTGATGATGATGATTGATGATTGATTGATGATAAAGATAAAATTTAACCATAAAAAATGGCGAAACGCAAATTATCAAAAGCTTTTAGGGTTTTCAATACCTGATTCCTTCAAACTCTCAACAAATCCGCCGCCGCCTCCGCCGCCGCGGTGGTCTCAAAACGAATCCAATCGATCAACAACGAAGAGATTCCGTCACCTCACAACATCAAAATCCTTCATAACCTCGCCGAAGGAAAGCGATTCAAAAAACGGTTTTCGAATCCGATTTCTTCTTCTTCTAGATTTCAATCAGAGAAGACCAGTTTCAGTCCCGATCTTGATCGTTATATATGGGCCGCCGATTATCGGTCCCTCGGAGAACAGTCGCTGCACCTCGCCGCCGCCGATTAATTCCCCTTTTCTTTTTTTTATCAATCTTCGCCCTACTTCTTCTTTCTTGTTTGGATGGGAGAACACAGATGGGAGAGCACTCTCGCACCACGTATTTATGGTGGTTCTTGTGCCGAGACTGCCCTCCGCCTTATCTTTTGTTTCCCAAAATACCCTTGTATTTCTTGAAATTTCAAAAGAAAATGGGAATAAAGAAAAATCAAAATCGAAACACAAATCTCGAAGTCAATAGTCAAATAATGGGGCCAATTTCTTTCGGAATTAAAGGCAATTTTGACTTTTGGATATTTGTGAATTTAGATTTTTGAGTAAGGATCGGGATTCTCTCGTCTTTTAATTTTTTCATATTTTTACTATTTTTTTATTTGAACGCATGCGATTATAGTATGTTAATTTTTTTATAAAAAGAAAAATGATACTCCAATGAGTACAGGACCACCCATAATTTATATTAATTTTTTATCTTGGGAAAAATAAAGTTTGTTTTTACTTTAGACCAAAAAATATTTGGCTCCTGGTACGTAAAAACGAGCAATTCTTCCTTATTGCTGAATCACACATTAAAATGTGTCCAAATCTTTTTGTGTATGGAGTCGACTAATGTCATTTTCTACAATGATTTTCATACTTCTTCTCTTATTTGATTACTCTCATCAGCAAGTTAGGAATCTTAATCCCGTTTTAAGAATTAATTGATGGCATATTTGTTAAAAAATTAGGAAAATCATATATCACAAATATCGCAATTTTTTAACTTAATTGACGGACAATCGAGATGTTTGAATTAAAATTAAACTACTAAGACCTATTCCCTTTCCTTGTATTATATGTAATCCCAACATCATTTAAGATGTAAGAAACTCTGTCACATCATTTTAGTTATTGTATCATGAAATTGTCTTGCAAAAAGGGTTATGTATGAGTGACCTTTTATATTATTATTTCTTTTATAAATTGGAATAAAAATTGATGCATCGGTTGAAGGGTGAGAAATTTATAAGTATTCAAAGTAATACTAAACAAATTACGATACTGAACTATCACGGAATGACTTAATAGTTAGGAACAAATTTTATATTACATATTATGATTCGATTACTAATAACACAATAGTGATAAGAGAAGGTTAAAATGCCTGTAAATCTTCTCAATTCCAAAAAGACAAACTACAACGGTAAAATCACCAGTTGATTTTTTTTTTTAAGTTACCATACGCAATACATAATGAATATCATATTTTGTCTTAGAAAACAAAACTAATTAGATTCTCATTTAATTAAAATCTGAGGAAATGTGTTTTTGGTTACTAAATTCCACAACCCCTTTACAAATGGAAGGATTTCATTGGCCAGTGAAATCCATCTAAATCTCTCCATGTTTTCCACTCCAAATTCCACAATAAAATGTATAATTTAGTAAAAAGAAAAAGAATAAAGAAAATAAAAATTAGAAGAGGAAATTTCCTAAACATCTCACTACGCATTTTTTAACTTTTTTTCCACGGAAAGAACCCCAACAACCGCAAGCACAAGCCCAGTGGGCCCCACTCGCCCCGAAATGTCTACAAATTATTCTCTTTCCACTATCGTCCAAAGGAAACAGCCAACTAGCATCTTCCAACTGCGGCCCCCACTAAATAAGAGAAATTGTGTCACACTGCCACGTGATATTACGATACTTGAATCTATCAACTTCATCATTCGAAGAGTTCCTTTTTTTCTTCTATTCTTTGAACAAACGATAGGATGGGGAGGGGATGTGTTTAGTTTAGTAATAGGCTAGCAATAATGTGATTCAAATTCGTCGTTGGCGAGAATCGAACTTACGATTTCTCACTTGCAAATTAAAAGAAATATTACTAAACCGTAGTACTAAGTGACTTGTCCGAAGAGTTCTTTGTTTTGAACACTCATCACATGGTTGTTTGGCCAAGGCTCATCAGGTGGCACCAAAAGACGGTGTTTTGGCTTAATGCATGATGGCCCTAAGTAAGATGTTCTTATAACTTGTTTAACGAAGTAAGTTGCACTCTACAACTTTACCGTATCATCCAATCATATAATAATATCACATGACGATGTCGCTATCTTGCTAAGAATTCTTCCACCAAGACGGACTCCACAGTCAACAAACCAAACTCCACAATCTGCAACCCCATTGGTGAAGCATCAAATCGCTTCCACCAAGACGGACTCCACAGTCAACAAACCAAACTTCCACAATATGCAACCCCACGGTGAATCATCAAATCGCTTTCGGCGTAAGCAACTAGTCCTCCTAAAGTTTTGACTTTTGCTGCTGAGCCCCTAAGATCGCTTTCGGTGTAAGCAACTAGTCCTCCTAGAGTTTTGACTTTGCTTCTGAGCCCCTGAAATTTGGTGCTTCAAAAGTTTGTGCCCATATTTGTATTTATTTTCTACTTTGTGACAAAAAATAAAACTGAATCGGGCAACCCGCTTTGAAAGGAACATCTGCAAGTATTTTAAGAAAGGGTGATGCTATCCCTTTTCACTTTTTACACAACTCGACGATCGGAAATTAAGAGGTCTGTATGGAATGTAAAAACGAGTGTGTAGACAACACCAGCTTTAAGAAAAAAACAATTTTCTAGAGAATCAGATGGCCACACCCATATACCAAAGAACAAATGTACTTTCTTAACAACGCATCTCAATCAGCCTCCAAAGAGGGGAAGAATCAGAAACCAACCGAAACCGGCGTTTTACGGCGAATGGTATGCTACGTCAATTGGTGTAATATACTGTAGGGTATAAGAAGAAAGTATGGCAGAACAGACCACATGTAGCATCTGTCTTGAACAATATCGGTTGGATGCTTGTGTTCCAAGCGAAACCTGAATCTTGGTATGACTTTGCAAGAACGGCAACTTCCTCGGCAGGGTTACCAGTCATCAAGCATCTTTTAATCCCTTGCGTGCGGCAGCTCAAAAGGAAAGCATCTGATCGTTGCCCCGGTTTCTTCTTTTGCTTTGAACTCTTCTTCGTTGTTGTGCGAATCATTTGCAGCTTTCAAAAGTACAAATACCTAGCCGACCAAGGATCTCTCGCCCATTTGCCCTGGGAGATTGCAACTTTGAGTTCATCATATGAATTCACATTCACAATATTGCTGCAAATAAAACATTCTTATTGTCAATGCCTCCACTAACTTTCCGATAAACAAACCGATATCTAACCGAGAGCATAGGCAAGGCCCTGTTTAACCCGGCTTTTTTACTAGTTCCTGTAACGAAGGTAACTACAGAGATGTTTTATAAAACTCCGAGGAGGAGAATGCGTCATAAGCGTATTATGAGGAATAAACGCCAAAGCAAGAAAACACCGACGTCTACATATTTTTGTAGAATGCATAAAGATCTCCAACTTTAGAGCTTCACCTGTATCGGTGCAATTTACTGACAGTCCATGAAGTTTGCCACACATGTTGCCTCTGTCTACTTTCATCAGTAAACTGCATGCATAGATTTTGGTCAATTTATGTTCCAGTGCCTCAGAAGGAACAGTATAAATGAGGCTTTGATTTGTTGAAGCATCTGGAAGTACCTGTGTTTCGAGGTACAAGAAAAATTCTGCCCAAGATTATGGCTGGTTCCGGCCTGTAGGCTGTAATGCCTTCCGGTCACTCATCATATCCTTTTCGTATAGGTCCTAACAGCACCAGCAAATGTTTCGATTATGTCCCTCCTGCCATAGAAACTCAAGAGTCCTCACGAAAGGTTTCGTTCGCATCTCCCATCTCGTGACATTTGCCCGCTGAAGAAGATTAGACATCAGTTCATCAAGACCAAAGCTTATACAAAAAATTACTCAAATGAAAATATCAAAGCAAGTGCGGTACCTGGTTTACCATAAGGGGAAGATGTGATTGACCATGGTTTCGCTCGTGCCTCGAACCTGCTGGAGCCTCAACAAGTGCAACAATCAAAGCTAACACCTTAGATCATATGTACTCAATAACATATACAATCAAATACAAATAATGCGAGACAACAGTTACTGATGGAAATACATACGACACGTTTCTGTTCGAGCTCCTTCCTCCTCCTGTGGTCACAAGTGCTAATTCCAACATGGCTAGCTTCTTTCCCTGCAAACGAGTAAGGTATAAACTGCAGCATTCCAAATTTATCAAAAAAAAAACTCGGAATTTAAGCTTTTAGGTCCAAGTCCAAGGTGGGATGCGAGAGGATGCACTATTGAATTTGTAGTTAGGGTCCAAGTCCAAGGCGTTAGTGTTAAGGTCGATTGGGCCTTGTTTCTTAACTCATCCAACCGAAGCCCCTTAGAAAACTTGGCAGCTTCTGTTTGACAAGGGTTGAAGTCCAATATAATATGGATGTTAAGTACTATTATTTTGAGAATCATTTTGATTGGATGGAAACTCGATTATTTGATGATATGATGAGAGTCATAGGACTAAAACTTTTATGTAATGAGTCTTTGAGCTAGTTTTTTGGGTAACCTCAATGTTTAAAATATAGGTATCGGTGGAAATATTGATATACAAATTTGTGGAAATATCGATCAATATATCAATATCGATTGTCTTCAATGGAAATTATAGAAATTTGTTTAAAATCGTGGAAATTTAAAATGAAATTTTGGAGAATATCATGTCAGTTTATTGATAATTAACCAATATGTTGGAACTATCAACCAAATATATTTATTTTAGTTGAAATTTAAGAATTTTTCTGATATGGGATGAAGTTTAAGACTTCAACCCCCTTCCTATGACTTTTTTCTAATTTTTTCGATATTTCCATAAAAAATATCGATGATATTGAGAAGTTTCAAATATTGGGTGATCTATCTTTAACAACAACAACAATAAAGCCTTATCCCACTAAATGAGGTCATTCTATGAAATCCTTAAATGTCAATGTATTCAATTTTATGCATAATCTTCCGTTAGATCTAAGTACTCAAAGTTTTTTCTTAGAGTTTATTTCCACATCTTCCTCAATCCCTTTAGCTCTTAAGCCTTTATCTATTTATCTCGTCTTCCTCTGCCCCTTGTGTAAGAAAAAAGGTTGAAGTCCAATAATTGCCTGAAAAGTAT